AGGGTGGAGAACTCTTAAAAAACTACAAATGAACCTACCATTTGACCCAGTTATACCACTTCTTGGCATATACCCAAAGAGTTCATCCTATTGCAGAGACACTTGTACATCCATGTTTATTGCTGCTCTTTTCACAATAGCTAAGAGATGGAAGCAACCTAAGTGTCCCTCAATGAATGAGTGGATAATGAAAAGGTAGTTCATTTATATGATGGAGTTTTACTCAGAAGTAAAGAAAGATGAAATCATGAAATTTGCAGGTAAACGGATGGAACTAGAAACTCATACTAAGTGAAGTAACACAGAAAAAAAAAATCGACATATGTTCTCCCTCATATGTGGATCCTAAAACCAAGTCCTGATAAGTGAGCATGTATCCAGACATAACTACAGGAACCAGGATAATGGAAAGGACCCAGGGAGATCAAGGAAAAGAAAGAACCTGAAAGAGAACAGTAGGAAACAGGAGTTAATAACGGAGATTGAATAAAAATTGTGCTAGTTTGGGGGGGGGTTATACAAGGAACCTAGGGGATAAAGGGAAAGAAGGAGATCAAGACGGGTAGGATCATAGGAGAAGGGTATTATTAAGGGATAAAGGGGGAAAATGGGGGCACTTTAATTGGGGAAACCATAATGGAGAGGTTAGACAATGCGAGAGATAAATAATGCCTAGCTAGTTTTAAAAACCAGAGGGAGCCATATTAGTCCAACTACCTACTGACAAATTATACATACCAGATCAAGAAATATATGGCTAGGTAGGATTTATCTGAGAACAATTGGTCTTTGCCCAAGATTTATCTACATGGCACACAGTAATTAAAAGTACCAGACTGGTAGAACTAACCTTCTTGGATGCTTAACAGATATACTTTGAGGCCTATACTAATTTGGTCAGAGGGACCTATAAAGGACAGTTTTTGCTCCTTGCCCTCCTAGGTCGAGTAGTTCCAGGGGACTATGAGCATCTCCCAAAATGTACTGTAATTGTGGTGGGTCACCTGTCCTCTTGATCAAGGAGGCCAAGGAGACCCCACCAGATGGACTTGAACCAGTGTCCAGTTTTCAAAGAGGAGGGTCAACACAGAGGAATCATTTCCTCCATGCTTCCAAGTGAATCCAGCCATGGTCGAGCAGGATCTTTGACTTATCTTCACATAGGTGGACTAGTAAAAAGAAAGGAGCCTGGGGCTCCTCCTAAGCCCATGTGACCCCTGAGGAACAGATCCTCAAATGGCCTTAAGAGTAAAAATAAATTGGTTTATCTGAGCCAACTGTATGGCCTTAAACACCCAAAAGGAAAGTATAACCAAAGATTAAAGGGGCCAATATAATTTCTTAAGAGTCCATATGCATAGATAAAGGCTACATAACAAGCAACAATGCCAGACAGGTGATACCTTCTTTTGAGTTGTTGGCGAGGGTGGCCAAAGGGATTCCCAGACAGTAACCCAGCATAGAACTGGGAAAATGAACAGCAGACCCCAATCTTATCTTAAGGAATATTGACAACCGATTGCTGCTACATGAGGATCAGCTGACCTTTCTAAAACCAACACTTCTAGATAGGCTGACTAGATGCACCAGATGAACAAATAGTGGGGGGAATGGCTGGGGGTGCCAAAATCACAGTGGACAGTAACAGGGATAACAGAGTATACGGGCTTTAGTTGGGGGAGGGAGTCTATGGGAGGGTGCCATATGGGAAATGGGTGTACAGTTGAATAAGATGGTCTGTGATGTTCTGTTTGATTATACACACATAAAAAAACAAATTAAAAAAATGAATTATATTTGAGGAGGAAGCATAAAAAGTTACATCATGTTAATTAGTAGAGGTGATAAACATTACCATTGAAACCTACCCCATGACTTTATAGACATACACAGGTGCCAAGGATCCGAGTGCAACTGATTATGAGGTGCAATAATCAGATACATACAGATTAGAGATCCATGCACCAACATCTCAGTGTTATTAGTAAAAACAATGAGTCTTTCTGTAAGAAACAGTATAGTTTAAAAGGAAACGGAGATCTTTTTTAAAGGTTAAAAACTCATTCAATTTTATGTCTTACAGGGCTTATACTGAGTTCAATATTGTATAACTGTATTAATTCAACAGCGAACCTAAAAATTTTATAGCCACTTTTGAAAGAGATGTAGCTTTGCTCAGGAAACTGTTGAGTATGTTAAAGCTGTAATGAAATGCTTCTTCTAAGAAAAGAAATCAACTTTCTAATCCTTTACATATTTTTTGATTTGTGTTTTCAATAACAGTACAATCTACCCGGGTGTGGTGCACACCTTTCGTCCGAGGGCTCTGGAGGCAGAGGCAGAAGCTTGTGAGATGGAGGCCAGCCTGGTCTACAGTAGCGAGTCCAGGCCAGCTGGTGCTATAGCGAGACTCTGTCTCAAACAAACAAACAAACAAACAAACAAACAAACAAACAAAAATACAGCAGAATCCTTTGTTGTATTAGTTTCTATTAAATGAACGCAGATCAAAGAGTAATTTTCTGCATCCTACAGCGAGCAAAAGCAAGAACTGTGGAGGAAACAATGGGAAATGAGCGCCCTGAAGTCCGATTCCAGGTGGGTCAGGTATAAAATCACAGCTTCTGCCTGGAGCCTCCCAGGAGGCTGCTGCTGTTTTCTGCAGCCACTTTCTTGGCCACAGGAGGTAGATGGCCCAACTTAATCATAGCTCCGAACGCCAGGGGACGGACCTGAGGAGTTCTGCTGCGAGTGCCCCAGATAGTTTGTCAGATTTTTATCTTTTCTTGGAAATCTGACGTTCTGTTTTGCATGCTGTTTCCAAACTGATGCAAAACGAAACTTTGTCCACGAGGAAGGAGAGATGGCTTATCAAGGGAGCCGGCGATAAGGAATCTTTAAGGGACGATTTAAGACAATGTTTAGCACGCGCCAACGGGTTACAGTCAACCGTTCCCACCCCAAATGCATAGACTTGCTCTGCAAATGGATGGTTCTAGATGACCACAGGCACTGCTGCTAACATTGCGAAGGAGGTATTCTGTTTCCTCACCTCCCTCCTCCAGCCGTGCAAGTCCCAGACCCTGGGACCACAGGATGAACTGATGCAGGGAAGAACTGTGGCTGGTTGCGGACCGGCGGGGACCGACTTGCATCCGCTTGCGCGCAGCAAGGCGGGACCCATCTCTTCCATCTGTTGCCAGGGAATTTTTTTTTTTTTTTTTTTTTTTCCAGTAGGAAAGCATTTCCAGGAGTTACTGTGGCTCGGTCCAATCGGAGATGCAGATTCCTGGGCGTGGCCTCTGGCAGGCAGTCTGCGCCCCGCCTCTTGTCAGGACTTTTCCTTTAAAAACCCAGGAGCAGGGATGCTCCCTCGGGGCTCTGCTTCAGCTCAGAGTGCCATCCGAAGTGCCTAGTTCTGCGATCATCGGGGCACCATGGCCCAGGAGCTGCAGCACCCGGAGTTCGCGATCGCAGGCCGGCAGGCGGGGCTGCAGGTGTGGAGGGTGGAGAAGCTGGAGCTGGTGCCGGTGCCCCAGGGCGCCTATGGAGACTTTTACATCGGCGACGCCTACCTGGTGCTGCATACCGCCAAGGCAAGCCGGGGCTTCGCCTACCGCCTGCACTTCTGGCTGGGTAAGCGACTCCTGGAGCCCTCCTCGGTCAGCGAGGCACCAACAAGGGTGGGTAAGCCCCGGGTCCGATAGTCGCAGGTGGGCATCAAACCCCGCCGTCTGGGCTGGACGGGCGACACTTAGCGAACCCTACCTCCCTTTGGTAATGAGCCACCTTCTTGTAGCCCAAGTCGGCTCCTGGACATTGCAAACCTGGACAAGGGCGGGACCGCTGGGAATACTCTCTGGCCTTGACCTTTGTCCAGCCAGTTCTTGGGGTTTACGGTTCATTTCTCAGACTTCTCTCCTTTTAGCTCCAAACGCCACTTTTTCCGGGGCAGCTGCTCTGTGCACCCAGGTGATGGCCAAGTACCGCTCACCCTCGGGCAAGTTCAGTCCTGGTTTCCCTGACTGGGTGGAGAAGAAGACAAACACGTTTGGTGGACCTCTGCAGCAGCTGGAGAGAGGGCTTTATCCTCTCCCCGCCCCATACATTGCCTTGGGCACCAGCTTAGATTTCTCTACTAATTGCGGAGAGTAGTCGCCTGAGCTGTTCCAAATCAAAATTCTCTGTGCGCAACACTGCTCTCGTGTTTGGGGGAAAAGATTCATATATCATCCATGTAAAGATGTATTCAGGCTGTTTCCTTAGTAATTATTCATTTATTATTCATCAGTTTTAACAAGGACGTAGTGTGGACCAGAACAGCTCGTCCTGGGTCGTAATTATTTTGGGCTGCGGCTTGGTGCCAGGCTTTCAGGACACTGGGCCATGTGTTCTACTTTGTGCACCTTCTACTTTTACTGGTAAACATCCTGAATGTTCAGCCTCTCCCTGTGAGGTCTTGTGCCAGTCCTCAGTATGACACCCTACCGATCATCTGAGCCTTCTTTTAAAACTAACTTGGCTCCTCTGTACTAGGATTTCTTTCCGTTTATTTATTCTTGAACTGGGGGAGAAAACACACCAAACCACACTTTGTGAAAGACTATTTTAATTTCTGACATCTGAGGAGTTTAAGAAATAAGTAGAAAACATTAGAAGTGATTTCCTCAGCATTAGCAGACACCTGGAGCAGGTGAGTGAGACATGGGAAACACACAGAGGGAGGTGGTATCTTTGATTCCAGTGCTGGGTGTTGTGACTTTGTGCCTGCTGGAGGATGGCTGAGGCTCAGCCTGAGCTCCAGACCATGGCTGTTTCCCCTTGTAATGCCACTACATTCATAATGCACAACACATTGTCATCTATACTCTGTACTGTTGACCATGGGAACCCAGATAGAACAGTGAGGTCCTCAATGTGGTCTTTCTACCCTGAACTTGCATCTGGAATGGATCAGTGTCTGAAACACCACATTTGCCAGCTGGGTGAATTTAAGTAGAAAAGAATGCTTCATCTTGCTGCTCAAGCAGCTAAGTTTGACTCTGTCCTAAGATTGCATGCAAACTTGGGGCACAATTATTTAATTCAGTAAATTTTTTCTCCAAATAGGCTCCTTAAGCATTGTGCTCTACAGGGTTATAGATTCACTTTAACTGAACTCTCTGGAACTTTCTACATAGCCCAGGCTGGTCTCCTACTCTCTGTCCTCCTGCTTCCATCTCCTGAGTCCCTGGCTCACTTCTATGTTTAATTATTCATTTAGTGTTCACAAATTCCACAATTACAATAGGAAGTACTTTGGGCAGAAACAGTCTATGATCTTAAAGACCTGCAAAAACTGAAGTTAATAATAGCATATTAATTACATTCTAAATCATTCTATAATGTTTCAGTGTGTAAGGGTCTTTTGAGATAGAGATGCTTTATGAAATTTCTCAGGGAATTTATTATCCCAAAGTTGCAATAAAACAAAAATAAATGAAGAAAACACTGATTCAATGTGATTAGTAACATGGTAGAAGTTCGTAGGCTGTGTGAAAAAATAGCCTTGATGAAAATAAGGAAAATAAGGATAAGTAGGAAGATTTTTGGGCCAAGAACAAACCATGGGGAGAAAAGTAGTCAATGATACCTTCAGAGGAAATTTTCCAGCAGCCTGTCCCACTTCAGTTTCCTAAACATACTAAGTTTCATCTAAAAGAGTTTGTTTTGAGATGGGAACTAGGAAGAGTTTATGGGGATTCATTGGAGACAATGATCGAAGGCAAGTTTTGGGAGGGAGGCCTGAAAGGTCAAGGGAAAGAATGCGTGATAGAAGGAAATGAATCAGTGGGAAGAAGTGAAGTTAAAGAACTTTGATGAAGCTGGTACACATGGAGACATGAGGGGACAAGCCCAACTGGAAAGGGAAGTAGAATGGATGGGACCCAAGATGAGGGCGATCGAGGCAGCGTATTCCTTCTGGGTCTGCCCATCCCATATTTCTGTAATGCCAGGACATAGCTCAGATAACTGTATTAATATTGCATGCTAAAATGCAAGGAAAGCAAGAATTATAGCACACAGCTTAAAATTTTTTGCACTATTACTTCTTAGAAAACATTTCAGCTATTACCTAGCAATTTAAGTGCATCCACCTTCTGTCTCTGGTTCCTTCCAGCATTCAGCCTGTGGGCAGGCCTATTATCACACCCCCAACCTATGCTGCAAACACTTGCAGTCATACTTTCTCCTAGTCAGCTTTAGACTTTACTTAAATCAATTTTAAAACACCATGTACATATGTCATGCCTATAGTTGGCCTTACACAAGGCACTTGGACTGGAAAGGGCTGATTACAGTCTGTAAAACAATATACACAATACAAGAAGTTAATACTATACAAAGGGCTAGTGATGATGTCAAGAAACCAAGTCACTGGTTTGGCAAGAGAGCTCAGCAGGTAAAGGAGCTTGCTGTGTAAGTCTGCAGAGCTGAGTTCAATCCCCAGAATGTAAAGGTGAAAGGAGAGAACCAACTCCACAAACTCATCCTCTGACTTCCAAATACATACACACTATGGCACATGAGCTCACACACATTTTGCATACATGCACACACAAAAAATAATAATAAATAAAATAAAAAAGAAAATGGATCACACTATTGGGCCTTGAGCAGCTAGAAACAAAATGAAATATCATTATGCAAAGCAGTTTGACATTTAAAACAAAGAAATGTGCAACTACCATAAGACAAGTAATTGCATTCATGGGCAATTATTCCAGAGAAATAAATATTTTTATTCAAACTTTATTTAAATAGTCAAAAAGTTAAAACAGGTCATATATTCAGTAATAATTGATCAGACAAGTTATGATAATCCATGCCAGGGAATATTACTCCATAAGAAAAAGGATCAAACTATTGATGTACACAGAAACTTGGATGAATCTCCAGGAAATGATGCTGTTTTAAAATAATGCAAGAAAATTCCATATGATAGGATTCTATTTATATGATGTCTCACAATGACAGAATTTTAGATTTATTCTTCAGAATAAGGAGATGGGGAGGTGATGTAGGCAGGAGGTGGGCAGAGTGTTAAAGTGAGATGGTTCAGTGGGTAAAGGCAGTTATTGTCAAGCCTGATGTCTGAGTTCCATTCCCTGGAACCTACTTGGTGGAAGGAGAGAATTGACTCCCTTAAGTTGTTCTCTGACCTTTACACACATGCTGTGGCAGTGTGTGTCCATGTGTGTGCATATGTAAGCACATGCGAGCACACACACATACACGCACACACACACAAATGAATAAATGTAAAAACATTTCTTAAAAAGGGCAGCATGAGGGATATTTTTGGCAATGGAACTCTACAGTATACTGACTGTGAAGGCAGATATACTAATCTGCAGTGTCACAAAGACACAAAGAAATAAAACTGGGGAGTTTGAACAAGGTTGATTGTACCACTGTGAATATTGCAGTTGTGATCCTCTGTGAAATGCTTACCTACTTATACTGTAGTATGTTATATATACTAGCAACCATAAGTTTTACAGAATTGCTATCAGCTTCTCTGTTTTTAGCAGCTGCCACCCCTCAACTTGAGAATGTTCTCTTATGTTCCAAATGTGGCAAGTTTGTTTTTTTTAAATCAGAAATGAGTGCTAGTTATGACACCTTTGTTTAAATTTGAGTGTTGTATATAAGATCATCACATCTCCCAAACAGTTTTAGGAGGTTCGCATCATATACACAAATATAACAAAATATAAAGCGACACAGTACAACATAATCTAACAGGTTTCACTAGAATCAGCTTAGAGAAACATTATGAAATCATAAACAGAATCCACAGGGAAAATTAAATGAAGTCACAAGCAGAATTCATATACAAACTTCACATGCTTCTCAATACTTGCTAGAATGTCATCGTGATACAGTAAGATTTGATTCAGTTTTATACAATCAAAAGGCTGATACTGGCTTTCAAGTCTTTTCAACCTTTTGCAGACAAGGACTTTAGTTTATTCATACTGATCTGCCCTGGTCCAGCACAGTTTATAAACATAGACAAATGAGAGGCTGACCTAATCAACGTATTTCCAGCTCATTCTTTAACTTCATGCCTACCATTTACGCCTACCTAAAGAGATGCAGATTTCAACTTGTCAACTAACAATGTTTCTGTCAAATACATCATCCTTAATATCCTTGCTATTAACCTTGACTTAAGGTTCTCTCTTAAAGCATCTCTGTGCAATGTCTACATCTATATCTGTTGTAATATTCTGAGAATTGGAAAAATGGGGAGAATGATACCAGTGTCTTTTCAAATTGCAAAATTGCATGTGAATTTTTTAAAAATGACTGTTAAATAAGTTTGGCCATAGAAAGTTTACAAAACTGTTATATCAGGTACTGTTCTAGCTATTGAATTTTTGCTTGAGAAGATACTTGCTTCAGGTTACCTTTGAACTTGAGAGGTGAATTGTGAAGAAATTTGATTCTTTCTCTAGAAAAGCTCATTAGTTTCCTTTCTTCAACATTGGTGAATAATTGTTATTGTTTGAGGGAGCTATTGTTACTGCTTCTAAACTCTTAAAGAATTCTAAATTCTTACAGTTTTCTAAATTCTTTTAGATTCCAAATTCTTACATTTTCCATCGGAGGAATTTGTATATTCTAATTACCAAAAAATGTACCACTAATATGAGTTGCAACATAAAAATTCATGTATTGTATTTCCTGAGAGCCTGTCTTATAGAGTCACCCAGACCTGTGTCAAAAATCACCTTATAACCTCAGGAGTTACTCTGTCTCCCTCAGTCTCCATGACCTCCAGTGTACCAGGGTATAAACCAGGTTCTGTTTCCTGGGGTTACTTCAGTGTCACTCGTTTAAAACCCTAGCAGTGTCTGACTCATGTTGGTTATTATTATCCTTGTCACCAGTTATGATTTTCATATAACTCAGAGATAGTTAAGGTTCTGATTTTTAATGAATTATGAGTGTTCATCAAGACTATCTTGTCTGACACCGCAGACTTCGATGCTAAGGAGTTGTTTTAGCCTCCACAGAGATGCCTCGATGAGATGTTTTATAATTGTAAAAATTAGTTGTAAATTTTAAGAAAGTGTGTTTTAAGGTTTATTTTATGTAGTTGTGTGTCTGTGTGTGGATATGCGCACTTGAGTGCAAATGCCTAAGGAAGCCGGAAGAGGAAGTCAGATTCCCTGGAGCTCAAGTTACAAGTGGTTGTGAGCATTCTGACATAGGTGCTGGGAATTGTACTGGGGTCCTTTGCAAGATAGTACATGCTTTTAACCATTGAGCAATTTCTCTAGCTGTATACCATGTCTTAAATTCCACCAGATACATAACATTTGAGAGACGCAAGCACACTAATTCCTTTACTCTGTCTTTTCCTTTGGAGGTTATTTAATACAAACAAAAATAATAAGATAGTGAAGTGGGGGAAACAGGACCAAAATTAAGGGATAAACTTTTATTTCCTATTTTAACATTTTTATTTATTTATTTTTATTTTATGTGTATGAATATTTTGCCTCCATGTATATAAGTCTGCCACATGCATGTAATATCCATGGAGGCCAGAAACCCTGGAACTGGAATTATGGACTATTTTAGCTACCACCATGTGGGTACTAGGAACCAAACCTGGATCCCCTGGAAGAGCAGCCAGTACTCTTAACTGCTGAACCATCTCTCCAGCCCCTCATTTTCCTATTTTGATACACTAACTTAAAAGACAAAATTCTTGTATACTAACTTTAAATAACATTTCTCTGTTACATTTTAAATTGGGGATTGAATCTTGGGCTTTGTGAATGCTAGGCAAGTGCTCTACCACAGCCCTGCACTACAACACATGGCTTGACCTTTGACAGGACCTGTAGCTTTCCAAACCACAAGGTAACTCACTATTCTGAACCCTACTACTCTGATACCTTAGAGGCACATGAGAAAACTATTGCCTTCTGAAATATATCCTTTTTCTTGTTTCTCAAAAAATATTAATTCTTTGAGTGTTTCATACATTTTGATCACATTCCCCTGTCTCCCAACTCTTCACAGATCCACCTCCACCTCCCTACCTACCTACCTTCATCGTACTGACACTATAAGCCTATAGCTTGATGCTTAAACCAGTTGTAAGCTATTTTCCTAAAAGGGTGTTATTGACTGTACCAAATGAATACATTCCTGAATCTTACTAGAATATATTAATTTTTCTTCCCAAGCATATCCAAGCAGCATGTCTTTAAATTTTTTAAACTATTTTATTTATTTTATTTTATGTGTATGAGTGTATTGTCTGTATGAATGTAAGAGCACCCATACCATGAAATGCCCGAGCAGGTCAGAAGAGGGCATCAGATTCCCCTGGAACTGAGTTACAGACAGTTGTTAGCCACCATATGGATTCTGGGAATCAAACTCAGGTCCACTGGAAGAACAGCAAGTGTTCTTAACTGCTGAGCCATTCTCTAACCCCTAACATTTTTTTTTTTTTAAAGAAAGCTGAAAACACAGGAATACACAAGGTTTTAGTTTGGAATCAAGTCACATATTATACGCTGTTTCTGATAAGAGATCTTTCTGCAGCAGATTCTTGCATTGATGCATCACTGAAAACAAAGTCCAGTGTCCTTCCCAGTTCTGCCTCTTTCCTTGCATAACTGCTGTGCTGTCCTTTGCTGGTTTCAGGAAAGGAGTGCTCCCAGGATGAGAGCACTGCAGCTGCCATCTTCACTGTCCAGATGGATGACTACTTGGGTGGCAAGCCAGTGCAGAGCAGAGAACTTCAAGGCTTTGAATCTACCGATTTTGTGGGCTATTTCAAAGGAGGTCTGAAGTACAAGGTAAGCACTTCTCTTCCACACTTCTTGTTGTGACACTTTCAAATAGTTTCTCTTCCTGGCCAACCATGTCTTGTATCTTCATGGATTGCAAATTCATGGAGGGCCAGGACTTGACTTGCTTTTCTTTTTATCTTAATGTGTTTTGTTCACTGATTTATCCCCACTATTTGTCAGACATATAGGAGGCACTTAGTAAATGTTTCAGAATGTATGGTGTGACATGTGAATAATATGCCTTAATTTACTTTGATGGTTTTTTTTTTTTTTTTAAACAGGGTCTCTTAGCTGGGTATGATGGTACACACCTTTAATCCCAATACTTGGGAAGCAGAGGCAGGCGGATCTCTATGAGATCGAGGCCAACCTGGTCTTTGTAGTGACTCCCAGGCCAGCTGGAACTGCAGGGAGACCTTGTCTCAAAAAGACAAAAACCAAAAAACAAAAATGACTAAAAAATGAAACAGCGTCTCTTGAAGTCTAGACTGGCCTCAGACTCATTCTGCAGCTAAGGACGACCTTGAATTCCTTGTTCTTCTACCTCTACCTCCTTAATGCTGGGGTTACAGATGTGTGTTACTGTACCAGGGTTATATTGAATTGGGGCTGGGACCCAGGGCTTCCTCCATGAGAGGCAAGCACTTGACCAACTGAGCTATATCCCCAGCCCCTTCGTGGGTAATTTAAAATATTCTAAATTAATTAATTTATTTGTGTATGTAAGAGAGGTGTAAATGCCATGGTGTGAGTGTGGGGGTCAGAGGAAAACGTTTGAGCATAGGTACTCTTCTTCATTTGGGTCAAGGAGATCAAACTTAGGTTGCCAGGCTTGGGGCAAGTAACTTTACTCAATGAGCCATATTGTTGGCTCATGATGGGTTATTTTTAAGGAAAGCTTTTATTATTCCTTTACAAGAAAGCCCTTTAATATTCTATAAAGTTATTTCAATAATTAAACAGTAACTTTAGACTTAATGGTTTTCATTTTTGCTACTCTGGAGACTCTGAATTTGTTGCAAGTTGCCAAAACTTTCAGAATCTCAAATATTCTTCAGAACAAATACTTTAAAACAATATTTATAGCAATCATAACTGTAGTTATTATAAAGAGATTTACATATATTTCCATAATAGTGTGGTTTATTCTTAGAAATGATACAGATGAAACCACTGAGCTGAAAAATGTATGAAATTCAGCTGACTAGACTCAGACATACACCCCCTCACATGAACCTATGCAGTTTATGTAGCTTGCCTCGAAACACCAATCAATTGACCTTACTTCTGAAATAACAAATAAAATCAATAAATAGGTCCGCTCCTTTAAGAATTCTCCCAGTGAGCTTTATAGGTAGGCCATCCTTCCCTAGTCACTTCTTCCCTGTCCACATGCTCAGCAAAACACGAGGAATTCCCCCTCCAGACAAACACTGGAGAAGTGAGCTTTTTTTTTTTTTTTTTTAAATGCAGACATGTTCCAACAGGTTCTCTGCACCCCCCGCCCCACTTCCTTACCCCTGGTGAAAACCCAAGACCTTAGAGCTAAACAGGATTTCTGAGAATATATTAATTTGTCTTTTAAGATGGCAGGGTTAAGCGGTTAAGCCAGTGATGATACACAACCATACTCCCAGCATTTGGAAGACTAGGGCAGCAGGAACACAAACAAGTTCAAGGCTAGCCTGAGCTATGTACTTACACCCATTCTCAAAAATAGACTCAGACATACACCCCCCAAACAATAACTAGACTCAGACATATACCCCCCCCCAAACAATAACAACAGATGTCAAATTTATGTACTTTTATTTGATCATATCCTTGGTTGAATGTTCTGCAATACCATGAGATCAGAACAAAGCAGCTGTAAGTTTTCTCCTCTCTCTTGGAATCATTTTACACTAAGATATAAAGCACTCTAAACATGAGACTGCTGCCTCTCGTTTTATTGAATTCATGTGAATTCCTACAGTTTGTGTCAAATGATCCTGAAATTTCCATTGCATCAACAAGCCCCACAGTTTAAACAAGTGGAAGTTTATAGTTGTTCAAAGCAAGGTGCTGTGGCATCTCCTCGTTATAAACCGTTTCTTCCACAGATGACTGACTTACCTTAGGTGTGTCTTAAGATTTTTGCCCTTGGTTTTCTGAAATGTACAATGCATTTTATACCAGCTTCCTCATACAGACATTGTAGGGATTAAGCACTACATTAAACAATAAAACACTAATATGGCACATACTTGATCGGTATGGACTTGACTTTAGAAATCAAACTCCTGGATACATATTCCAAAGTAAGTATGACATGAAGTAATTTTCTAGTTGTTGGGTAATTACCTTCTAATTAGTGACATTAAAGCTACTGAAATCCAGCATTTTTCAGAAAGAGGATGCTTGCAAATGGAGGTCAAATGTATCAGCAAGAAAATCAGTCAACTCTTATCATTAGCAGCATGGTGGGTGTGACAATAGTTGACAGGCCGGGCATGTGGCTGCAGAGATAATTCACTAGATAGACTAGCAGAGGTGATCGTGTCATGCAGAGTTTTTACTTTCAAGTTTATAGAACAAGCTAATCACTTCATGTGCATTACCTAATTTAATATAAAGCTACAGGTGGTTCAGTTTCTATTATTACTACCCTGTTAAGATAAAGCAAAACTTAGAGAGCCTACCCAACTTATGAAGGCCTCACTCAGTCAGTGACTGTGTGACCCTCTGACCCCAGTGCCTAAGCTGGTAATTACCACACTCTACTGCTCTCAACATAAATAAGTGACTCATATGTCAGAACAAAGTTTAATGGTACCTTATCCTAGGAAACAGTTTATTGTCTATTTTGAGTGGGCAAAATTTGACAGAGCCTGTCATTACTGAGGCAGCAAAAATCAGGGCAAGTTACTGTGTGCCATGGAAAGGTTCCTCTGGGAAATGCTGTGACTGTCTTCCTGTCTCAGTATTTGACTATCATTTCTTATTCAGCACTTTCATGACCAGTGAAGGGGTTCCAGAGATTTATTACCCTGCTTTCTGCTGTTGAATTTCTGGCTAACATCCTTTCCTGAAGCTCAGTGAATCCCTACATTCAGCCATGATTGTAGACGGTGACCATCAGACATGTATTTGTGGGTTTAGTGGGTGATCTTGCTTTGGTTCTACTTTGTGAAAGTAGAAAAAGACTGGAAGCTTCTAGTGCTAATTTAGACAGTATTTGTCTAACTATAAAGTATTTGTAGAAGAACCATATCCTCTTTGTTGCAGACATGTCCATACAATTTTTTTTCTCATTTTCATTTTTATTTAGTGCTCTGTATGTGTGTGTGTGTGTGTGTGTGTGTGTGTGTGTGTGATATGTCGGGGGAAGGGCATGCATGCATGTGAATGCCAGAGGACAACTTTGTGGAACTGGTTCTATCCTTTTATCTTTATGTGGGTTTGTGTGATTGCACTCGGGTTCATGCTTGCATGGCAAATGCCTTACCCACTGAGCCATCTTGCTGACCCAGCATGAAATTTTCTTTATGTGCATTTGTGACATTAAGTATTAGAGACAAGATTATTATTTGTTATTTTAAAATGCATCTATTGATTTTGTAAGTGTGTAGAGGTCAGAGGACAACTTACATGAATCTATTCTCTCAAAGATCTGCCTTCTTCAGCATCCCAAGTGCTGGGATTAGAAGCACATGCCCATAATGTCCAGCATATTTTTAATTTTAAATTTAATTATTACCACAGATAGATAAAAGAGCAAACTAACCAGTCAACCTGTTCATTTACCAAGAATTTTCACTCCACATTTAACTTTTCTCATGTGCTGAGGTGGCCTCATTATCCTGGCTCTCCAGCACAGTTTTTCCACAAACCCATATGCTGCTATGCCTTGCTGGGTCCGGTCAGCAGACTCACTGGTTCTCTCTATGTTTTGTGTTGTGTTTTCTCCCTGTGGCCAGGCTGGAGGTGTGGCTTCTGGACTAAACCACGTTCTTACCAATGACCTGACGGCTAAGAGGCTCCTGCATGTGAAGGGTCGGAGAGTGGTCAGGGCCACCGAGGTTCCCCTCAGCTGGGACAGTTTCAACAAGGGCGACTGCTTCATCATAGACCTTGGCATCGTAAGTTTCATATGCACACAGAGATGTCTATGGGAATGTCAATTGTTTTTATAGCATATCATCTGTACACACCATTGAAGATAATCACTTTTTCTACACACTTGGAAAGAGGTTGTAGGAAGTGTTAACTGACACATAATATGGGACTTCAAAGTCTTTATGCTTTTTGGTCAGTTTGGAATAGAAGAGTGATTTAGTTCTTCCTGCTATAGAACAGAAATTGAATAATTTTTTAAATCTATTTCCCCTTGACTCTGAACAGAGCTTCCGCTAATTATTTTTGTCTTCATTGTGTGTGAGAAAATATAGTTTGGGAGAAAAGTGATTCTCTAAGCAGCCAAAAGTTTTGGAATTTAAACTGGGCATATGATTAGCCTAAACAACCTGCTGAGGAATGAGGGAGACTATTTTAGCATATATGCATATATATCCACACATATATACACCCCATAATGCTTTATACTTTTCAGTAATCTTAGGGTTATTGGAAGAAAAAAATCACAACTACAAATATTAAGTATCATTTTAGTGGCACAGGCAGTGGTATATAATATCTTACTTATGTTTTCTTCTGGGAAGTAGACCCTTTTAATGTTCTGTATGCTTTTTAATGATTATCATCATGACAAAGAAGTGTTGTAAGGCTGTATGTTGGGTCCTCATAGGCAGGATTTAAATTGTGTCTTCAAAACTTTTGTAAGGCCATTCCCTGCTTCCTAGGAACCACGTGCCAAGGCACAAAAAGGCAGGGAAGCACAGGGCCTGTTAATGTTTTCTCTCTCCTCTGCAGGATCCTTACTCTCACTGGCAGTACATGAGCATGCTCTGATAGGCATTTCTTTCGATTATTCCACCCAAGCACCAAATAATACACTTTCTACTCAGCACCTCATAGAACTTTTTCAAAGACTGACCACATACTGGGCCACAAAACAAACCTCAACGAATACAAAAATATTGAAACAATTCCATGCATTCTATTGGACCACAAAGCAATAAAGCTCAAAATCAACACTGGACAAAGCCCTAATCACTACACGAACTTGTGGCGATTGAACACACTCCTAAACAATGAGTGGGTCAAAGAAGAAATTAAGAAAGAAATAAAAGAATTCCTGGAATTCAACGAATTCAACACAACACAACCTCTGGGGCACATTAAAAGCAGTCCTAAGAGGGAAGTTTATAGCTCTAAGTGCCTACATTA